AAATCATAATATTACACCAGGTGTCCTTAAATATTAATGAAAATTGAATTTCATTGCATTTGTTTTACAGGGCACAGGCCACATTTAAGAGAGAACAAATCCTTCAAAATTATAGTCGAGAAAGTTCAGACTCAACCATCTACAAGAAAATTTAAACTAAAAATTAAGAACGAAGTAGATTTGAGGTTAAAAGCATTTATTACTTCATTATTTTTCCTTCTTATTAATTCACATGTTCATGCTACAAGAACAAGTGATCAAATCAAACTTTACAATTCCAGTATTAAAAATTTCAATAAAGTTTCAAAATCCAAATTTAACCCGGATGAATTAATTCCAAAAATGTGATTTATCTGGATGCATGATTTAATTGTCAAAAAGTTCTTCAAATCCAACAAAATGAAAATAGCCAAATTTCAGACTCAATTCTATCTACACTTCACGGTGAGAAGATAAGATCATGGGCAACATAGCATCAGAAAACTGGTGTAAAGGAGGTCAATAAAACATACTGTAGAGAAACCTAGTTCACAAAATTTCAAGCACGAGCAATCACCACATTTGATAACTTTTGGGTGCCTATAGCACATAAAGAAACATATTATTACAAAACACCAAGAGACAATCAATAACTGGGCCAATTGGATCTGAAAAGATAAAGCCCCAAATTCAATTGCTCAAGGCTCCAGTATTCTAGATCAAGAATCAGACTTCAGGTTAATATGGAATCTTCCAAGCAGGAATGCATTAGCAGTAATATTAGTATATACTTTCAAATGCTAAATGTTATGTCCACATATAAAACAGATCAATCAACAGTACCAGATCATCATATAGACCACAACTAAAATCTGAAGCCTTGTAATAGAAGTGAAAACGGCTTGGAAAAATTTATTCCTTGTTAAAAAATGTATAAAAGTTTGAGACTTTTCATTACATTCATAATAAAAATAATCCCTTACATCATTTCACCACTGCAATCCCGACACAAAAGAATCCAATTTCTTAAAGTTTGAAGTTTGGCTCATACCCACCAGCTATTATCGTGATGAAACTCTAAGCAACATGAACTTATAGCACCCCATCATTCTACGTAAAGCCATAAAGGAACTAAACATAATAATTGTTTTACCATTAAAAAGTAGCAAGAACATGGATAGGCAAATTTTATGTTCTCATTATCAGATTGGAAAGCATACATCATATGGCGGAAAAGAAAACTGGTAAACAAAGAAAGACTACTGAAATTTCACCAAACCGGGAAAGTCATTGACTAGCATCAGGTCTTGCCATCTATGAATTTAAAGTGACCAAAATTCTAAGACTACAGATGTTTATTGCTTCTTAAAAAAGAATTAAGTTATTAACACTGACATTGAGACATCAAATTCAACATTAATACACCAAGTTCAACTAAACTGTTGAAATGGATAACTCCTCTCCAATTATATGAAAAAAGAAAGTTCTAGTCTTAGCATTCTTGGCCTCAAATTATGAAACATTTGTATTGCATAGGTACCTATAATTCACAAACCTTATAGGGTATAGTTTTGGGTTCCAAGTAACATAAAATCTACAAACCCCACATAGTATTATTTCCAAAGGGAAAATTCTGAGACTAGAGCTCCATCAATAGCATGTTTGCCAAAAAAACTTTCAAACCTAAAGCTTTGGAGTTGGTACCACATTCTTCATAAACCCTTTCTGAATGAGACTAACCAGAAAGATCCAATCAAATTTAAGCTTCGAGAAACCTTTGGGAAGGGCCTTAATAACCTAACAATTCCTTGTTAAGGAAAGATTTACCAGCCAAGGTTGGCTAACATATACCTCAACATGCCAACCTGAAAGTACACACAAACAAACTATAGCTACTCGAACCCAAAAAATCCCATTTCTTTTCATTATTTTTCCTTTGTTCAGGTAATCTTCTCTCAATCAGTAGAATCCCTCCAAAAAAATACTTACACATACACCACATGATCCCATAGTATGTGAAGAAAAAACATCACAAAACTTATCAAAAGGCAAGGGAGATTCAAATTAGAACCACTATCTGAATCTCAATTAAAAAAAACTATAAATTGTAGAACAAAATGAAAGCTTAAAAGCTACAAGATGAAATCCAAACTAACACATTTGCAACTAAAAAAGTATGCGTTTGAAACAAATTCTCCACTCGCGATTTGACAAAATGACTCCGAAAGAAATGCATAATTTGTAGATATAAAGAATGTTGTTACATTTCTCAGCAAAATTTAACTGAACCACTAACCCATGATTCACTTTAGCTTCACAAAACCAAAACCAAAATCAAAACCAATTCACAATCACAACACGAAACACTTCACCAAAATTCACAGACTAACAACAGCAAACCACCACAACACAAAGGCGTCAATTGAAATAAAAATTGAAGCCCACAAAAAGATAACAACAAAAAATTCTACGCCATCCATTTCCCACATAAAATTCACTCCTAATTGAACTACCAAAAAAAAGAGACACTCAACAATTTCAAAAATAAACAAGCAATTCGGCACAAAAAAGAAAAGCTAAAATCCACAAGCGAATTTCCCAAAGAGATAAAAAAATAAAACGATTTACCTGAAAGAGCAAAGACGGGGAGAAACACGAAACTTGGGGTTCCGTAATTAAGAAATGGGAAATTGGAAAACGAATAGAAAGAAAGAGTTGGTGGTTTGGTTTCACGGCTAAGAAACCGATGAGTTTACAAAGAAAATAAAAATAAAAATGTGATTTTTAATAAACGTTACAAAGTGGATTTCAAGTTTAACCTTCTTGTTGTTGTTGTTGGTGTAGATGATGATGATGAGCTTGGGGCTTTGTGTTTTGTGTTTAACCTAAAACAAACAGAATAGGCATGGAGGATATTCCAATCCTAGTGGCTTCATTCACCTCACCTGCTGCAATGGCATTTTCGTTATTCTCTTCTTTTTCTCTCATTCTTGCTTCCCACGTTCTTTGCACGTGTTTTTTTTTTCTTTTTTATTAAATTGTTTCCTTTCTTAAATGGATTTTTTATTTTTTCTTTCTTCTGCTTACTACGACGTTACGTTGTCGTTTCGGGTGATGTCATTTCTCTTCTTTGACCCGGACTCATGAACCTCGTGCCTTTGAATTAGATGAGATTTAGATTATATATATACAAATACAAGGGCAGTCGGTTAGAATATAGTTAAGATTATTGAAAAATAAAAATATTTATCCATTTAATGTAATAATTTGTAAAAAAAATATGCTAAAATTTTCATTTTTCAGTTGTTTTAATGCATTTATCCATTTTATGTAATAATATGTAAAAAAAAAAAAAAGATAAAACAAAGGGAATCTCAATTTTTGATGTAATAATATGTTAATTTTTTTTTAAGTGTTTTAATAGTGCTTTTGAAAAAATACATCTATATTTACAAAATTCAATTTAAAAGAATCAAACTGTTTTTTCTTTTTTCGAATAAAAGAGGCTAATTATAAAGAAAATGATTATATTTATAATAAACTTAACAAAAAAAATGATGGGATTGAGATTGTTTGAACTTGTAAATAGTTATGTCGTTGATAACAATAATCGGTGTAAATGTCTTGTTATTATCAATAATCGGTGTAGATGTCTTGATATTTGTATGAAACAAATATTAACAATTCAATTCAACCATTAATCTTTTTGTTCTTGACGAACATGTTAAAAAACTTTAAAATGTTTATAATTGATACTTAAATATAAAAAAATTATGAAATAAAGAAATCCAAATTGCAGAAGAAGTATAAAAGGATTACTTATACAACAAGGAGGGAAAGGAATTTCAAGGGAGGACGGAATAAAATATAAAGGGAAATTCTATCTCTTAAATTTAATAAAATATAGATAGAGTGTGACAGGGGAACAAAACATAAGGCTCCTTTGGTACATAGTTTGGGAAAAGTATTAGTTAAACAATAACACTTATTCTCAAAATATTATTCTATATTATTAAATTTCTTTTAAACTCCCTAAATTTGTTAATTTAACTAAACAACCTCAATTTTTTTAAAAAAATTAACAAAAACACCCCCACAACCCACATTTACCAGATTCCGACCACCACTGTAAGAATCTGACAGGAATCTGGTGTAATGGCGCAATACCGGCTAAATCTGATTAAAAAATGCCATATCGATTCACGACCAGCAAGATCTAGTCGGTCATGCGCTAATATAACGACTCCGACCATCCTCCGGCGGTGGTGGCCGACTGTCCGTATTTAATGGATGAGTTGGAGGTGTTTTTGTTGACTTTTAATATTTTATTATAGGGGTGTTTAATAAATAAACAAACATAGGGGATATTTTTGTTAATTTTCAAATTGTACATCGTAATATCCATCCAATTTAACTTTTTTTAAAATATTATTTTAAAAACTATCATAATAATGAACCAAACGGACCCATAACTCTATCAATCATTTTTATTATAAGATTAAAATACAAAATTAATTATAAAATAAATCCAAATGCAGAAATAAAGCAGTACCCAACAGTAGATAATATTCTTATTCTTATCATTATAGATGTAATAATTTATTATATCAATTATAATAATAATAATTAAGAGAGTTCAAAAGTCTAGAACCAGTTGGTCTGTCCACATTTTAAATCAGCTTTAGATTAATTAGATTTGATTAATTTAATTAGGTGTTTAACTTTTTTGGGTATTTCATTATGATGCAGTGAAGAAGAAGTCAGTATTGGAAGCTTGTAATTGATATGATCAAATTGTGTACCTAACTTTTTTTTTATTTTTGCTTTTGCTCCATCAGACATCATGATTTGTTTAAGCCAAATTTTGTCTTATGGATAATAAATTACACTTAATTATTGACCATGCCACCACATAATCTTTGAGCATTATAATGAACTTTATTATAAAATTGTAAAGAGAATAATACAATAATACAATAATCCAAAATCAATAATAATAATAATAATTATTATTATTCCCCCTATAAAATATAAATTAATCATACAATAAAACACTCCCAAAAAATATATATAAAAATAAAAAATGCAACACTTTTTTTATATGTAAAATGGTAAAAAATTAATTTAAAACTGAGTAGATGCAACGAAGAGCAACAGCAGAAGCAGAGAAAATGTGAGCTTTGTAGCATTTCCATTTGATGAATCCCCATCTGTTGATGGAACAGTCTTTGATCCCCCACCTGCACAAAATAATTGAATGACATTAATATATATATGAGAATTTTCAAGTGTGAAAACGTATCAACTGTTTATATGAACAAAAAGAGTCCAGTTAAATATGCACCTGAACCTGAAGGAGATCCCGAGGGAGAAGCAGCTGCCATTTAGAACCAAACAATTAGAGTTTCGAAAAGCAAATAAAGAATTTATGTTGGGAGAAATTGGATGGGAATTTTCTCACCGTTGCATTGGCTGACAGGAGGAGTCTGGACGTTGCAAGCAGAAGGGAGAGCCATAGCTTGAGTCTGATTAACATTGATACCGAGTGAGGAGCCGCCGCCATTGATGACTTGACACAAGCACTGAGGCTGCGACTTAACGACACTGGAAAGCTGAGAGCAGCATGAAGAAGATGGGCTCGAGGAGTTTCCAGTAATGTAATTCAGGCACGGGGACATGCTGATGAGCACATTAGAGCAGTCACTTGATTGTGCTGCAGCTCCTGCCCACAATGTTGCTGCAATAATCAGAATTACAACCGTTTCAATTCTCTTAGCTGCCATTGAAACTTAACTAGATTTTGAAGAATGGAGTAATATTTTTTTGCAAATTCTGAAATGGGAATTTTCCGAGAGATGATTTGTGATTGTGGGTTGCTGGGGAGAATCATTGGCGGTATATAAAGGGAAGATTGTGAAGAAAAAGATAGGCAGCTGGCTTATGTTATATGGGTTACCAACTATACCTACTTTATAACAGGTTCTTTGGTAAACAACCAAAACTTTAGAACTTTTTATTAAATCTTTTTTATTATTATTTTTATAATAAAGTTTAGAATTATGTGTTCAGATTCGCTTGGTTTCTGTTAAGAACTTTACTTAATTTATTGTTCCTTGTTGATGTAAAAAGATGCCGAGGAGTCTAATTTATACCGACTTTCTTTAGAAAATTCTAAGTAGATTTCATTTGCTTGACCCACCATGGGCTTTTTGTAACTTGCTTCCTAAGTAATGTCAAAACTGAGTTGACATTGGTATATCAAAGGTTAATTTGGTACCAATGAAGATAAGGTTTGAAGGAAAGACGACAACCCCAAATTTGAGAAATTAACACTATCATCCCTATTTTTGGTAATCTACCGTTTTTTAATACAAATAAATCATTTACAATAAAAAAAAACCATCAAGTCTTGGGGGGACACGATCGAGTGCCTTTCAACTAAAGTAATGTAAATGAGTCATTGGTCAAAAATGGTCAAAATTAAACGGATATTAACAAAAAGGTAAAGTTAGAAACTTGAAGGTGGTCTGTTTCAACTAAACAAGGGAGGTGTTGAGTGTCTTTCTCTAAACCAATGTAAAGGAGTCATTGATCAAGGTAGGTCAAAGTTAATCGGATATTGACAAAAGATGAAAGTGAGGTTGTTAATGGATGTTTTGGTTTTTCGAATCCTAGAGGTTACCTCTTACCACTAAACATGGAGGGTAGAAAGTAAATAACCTTATATTAAATGATAGAATGTTTTGATAAATAATATAATAGTAACAAAACTTTATAGATGAACTTTGAATGATCTTGTGTTATGCGTTGATTTTGTTGATATATATGGTGAGAGTAAATGACTTTTTTCCACCCAAATAATGGCTTAATGACACTTTCTCACCCAAAAAGTTTCAAAATACAATTTTACTATCCAAACGTTATATTCTATTAACAATTTCGGTTAAATACAGTGATATTTATTGTAAAGACAAAAATACCCTTCTCTCTTCTTCTTTCTCTTCTATTCTTAGCCTAAACCATGGTCGAAACCACCACCTGTCGGATTTGGCCTTATTTCGGCACCATCGCAACCCTTGACACTTCCCTCAGACTCCTTACATCACCCACACCAAAACCCTTTTCACTCCCACATCAGTGCACCCTCCAATTGCCGGCCGATAGCCATTGTCCTTTTAGCGTGATTTCCCATCTTCAAAGCCAGATTCTGGTTTATTTCGCCATAGGAAATCACCCTTGCCACCACCATTCAAACCCCCATCCCCTCCTCAATAAAACCCATCCAACCACCAGCTGTCTCCAATCGTTGTTTGCTACTCATGAACCGCACTCACTACCACACGATAGTCGCATTTTGTGACACCAATAGTTGTTTGTGGAGTTGGTTTTATAGGGAGATTGGTGGGAGATTGTTGTGTGTATTGAGAAGTGTTAAATTGGTTGAGTTTGTAGGTGAATTTTCTGGTTTTTCCCACATCCCTAACCTTTCCCGCAGCTTCTAAACCTAGGGCGCACACCACCTGCTTGACAATTTGCCCCAACCAAAACCCATGCCTCACTAGACAACACCACCCCACTTGCTCGACCATTTGTCCCAAACCGACTTCTCCCACCCTTTCAACCACTGACCTCCCCTCTTCAAAATCGTTCAAACCCCAACACTTGGTTACTTGCTAGTCATCGACTGTGAATTGTCGTCCTCCTTCGTCGTTTGTTGTTTTCTCAGCAAAGTGGAATTTTAAATTTTGATTTTTGATGAAAAATGTTAATTGACCATCACACTCTTACTTATAACGGACTTTTGACCATCTTGCCTTCATTCACAATGAAATTTACTAACGGATTTGTGATGTGGGTGTTGCAATATTTTAATAAATTAAATGAAATAAATGGAATGAAAGTGATGGTGTAAGTTAAGGAGTTGAAAGATGAAAGGTTAGTGGATTAATGAATGGGGTTTTAGAGTTGGAAAGTGAAAAGGTGGTGGAATTCAATGTATTGTCCCACCTGGAGTAGTATAAAAATGTGTTTTTCCTCTCATTTTAAAAACACCAAAATTTCAATCTCCCATTTTCTCTCTAGTTTTTAAGTTTTTCTTTTATTGGAGTTAATGCTTAATTCAGTTCGTTAGAATAGAAGAGTGGTGTTTCTCTTTCTATTTATCTGTCGTTGTATCTTAGGAAATAAACGCTGCTCAAATCCTTGTGCACGCGAGTGAAGGAGGCGAATCTGTTTTAAGGAAACTGTGTGTTACACATGCCTCGACATTCATCCTGTCATTTTATTTTATTGACATATAATTCTATTGTTTTCATATTCAATAGATTTATTATTTGCGGTTACTAATATAATAGTTGATTATCTTTTAATAGTGTGTAGTATAGTAAAGTTGTATTTTGAAATTTTTTGAGTGAGAAAGTGTCATTAGTCCATTATTTGGATGGAAAAAAGTCGTTTACTCTATATGGTGAACTATTTTCCTTAGGAATAACATTCAGAATTGAGTTACAAAATTACATTAAATATTAAAATTTATAGATACATTATACTAACAACTTTTACAAGTAATAAAAAAATTAAGATGGCATTATATTTTGTACTATCATTTAATTAGTAGAAAAAATATTTTTTAATAAAAAATGACAACATAAATATAAAAATATCTCCTCATATTACGGTATATTAATTGATTATATTACACATTAACATCTCAAGATAGAAGACAAAATTATGATACTATAATAAGATTACAGTTACATCTAATACCTTCTCTTATTTTCTAATATTAAGATTAATGAGATAATATCACCCAAATTATAAATTAATTTAAAGATTACATATACATAGTAAGTATGTTATATTCAATATTAATTAACACATCCATATGCTATGTTAGGCGACCTGTTTTTTGTTCTTACTTAGATGGTCGGTTTTGATTTAAAGATTTAAATTTCCATAGATTCTTAGTTCTTGTTGGTTGGTAGGAGTCTAAACTCATTTTTATGAACCAATTATTTTATATTTGTATATTAAATAACATGTTAAATTTGTTATATAAATATTTCTATATGACTATATCATCATTCCAAATAAAATACAAAATTGCCAAAGTTCATTGATATATATGAACATGAAAGAAATGAAAAAATTACAGAAATTAATATTAACGAAGAAATTTTTTCAAAAGCAAATGTAGTTATAGTCTACGATTATTCAAATAAACCATTGAGAGTTCGTATGAAAGTTGTTTTGACCAACCCAACTATGCTAGAATATTCTTGAGATGTTAATGAATAAAACTTGCTTCTATTTATCGACAATATCATTCGTGTGGAAAAAAAAAATTGTGATGGAAATTGCCATTGAAATCTACAGTTGGACCGCCTAGAGCCCATTTCAAACAAGCTAGCCTAGTCCACTTGATGAAACCTCATTAATTTTAGTCTGCAGAAGACTGATGATGGTGAAGTAATCCAACTCATGATGGTGGTGGGGAAAATAATAATGGGCCTATAGTTCAATTGTTCACAGTTGAAAATGCATACATTTTTCTAGGTAAAATAGTTATTGCCATTGCGACTGCATTGTCGTTTGATAAGACTTTATGATAAGTCGATGCAAGCAAAAATCCATGTGTATTTTCTTACAGTTTACGTTTTTTTGGGCACTTTGTGTTTTTGCTATGGTCTCTGTCTATTGGTGTGTAAATGCCACAGAGCTACATGGCTGGTACTAAAAAAAGGTATGACGGCTAGTGCGTACACCCTTGTGGCCACCGCTGGGCACCTATTTCCCTTGAAGGTGATGTGTTTGATCACTTTCATACTTCTAGCAATATGTACACCGCCAATCTTTTATTTTGTATAGAGATATTGATCCAGTTAGTAACTAATTGTTTTAAGATTGTGTAGAAAAATATTGGCATTGAGAGGGGGAGGGGGCTAAACAATCCTCCATTTGCTAATGATGGTGGTGTAACCAATCCTCCATGATGATGGTGGTTTTATGACTGCATTGTCGTTTTGATAAGACTATATGATAAGTCAATGCAAGCCAAAATCCATGTGTATTTTTTTACAGTTTGTGTTTTTCTGGGCATTTTGTGTTTTTGCTATAGTCTTGTCTATCAATGTGTAAAGAGTAATGCTACAATTGCCGAAAAAGTATACCGAATTCATGCACCGAACAGACGTGGCACCATCCGCTTTTTTCAAAAATAAAATTCATAATTAATCAACGGTCATGATGGTGCCACGTCTATTGGTGCATGAATTCGGTATCCTTTTTTCGGTGACTGTATCATTTTCCATGTGTAAATGTCGCAGAGCTGCACGATTGGTACTTAAAGTTGGCATGGCAGCTATTGCGTATGCTCATGTGGCCATTGTTGGGCACCTATTTCCCTTAGAGGTGATGTATTTGATACTTTCTAGCTTCTAGCAGTATGCACACCGCCAATCCTTCGTTTTGAATGGAGATTTTGATCGAGTTTGTAACTAATATTTCAAAGATTTTGTAGAAAAATATTGGTTAAATAATTCAAAAATGTTTATAGAGGTTTTGAATGTTTTTCATGGTATTTTGCTATCCATTAATATCTTTTTTTTTTTCTTTATTATGGAAACCTTTTTTCTTTTTGTTTGGTTAGATAGATTAGCATGTTAATTCCAAAATTTTTACAAGTGGGAAATTCATGTTTAGCTCACTCATTTATCTAATTGATTAACTCTGGAAAGAATATTCAGAATACCCATAAACACTAAAACATATGTAAGATTGGAGATACATGATGCCCCTTTCGAAATGGTCCAATACTCTGATCCTTTCCATCCAATTTTTATTGGAGGAATTGGTCTTGGATATGGAATTGTTGGATACATCCAATTTCCTTTTAATTTCCTTTTTTTTTTTTT